ATATCTGTCATACCGACTACGTGTAGTGCTACGAGTATGCCTTCTTCATGCTCTTTGACTTCATGCGCATGCGCTTGGTTTCGTTTCAGAGTGCACGAAATTTGAAATCAATGCTATAAAATAAATTAAACGTATGTAGTAGTGCTTAGACAGTGTCCGCTTGGAATATTTGTAACCCATGAGCACGAAATTTGAAATCAATGCTATAAAATAAATTAAACGTATGTAGTAGTGCTTAGACAGTGTCCACTTGGAATATTTGTAACCCTTGTAGAGAATGGGGCGTGTAGACAGTAATGCTTGGGTTCGGGCGGCTACGTCGCCCGAACAAAATATAAATATCATATCCTACCCGCTTGGGGCCTACCCGCCTAGAAGTTACAGCTGAGACAGTGTCCGCTTGGAATATTTCTAACCCATGAAGACAGTGGGGTGTGAGAACGGTTTTTTTACTGTCTAGTTAAAAAGACTGTTCTCGCACACCCCACTGTCTACATGGGTTACAAATATTCCAAGCGGACACTGTCTAAGCACTACTACATACGTTTAATTTATTTTATAGTATTGATTTCAAATTTCGTGCACTCTGAAACGAAACCAAGCGCATGCGTATGAAGTCAGAGAGCACGAAGAAGGCATACTCGTAGCACTACACGTAGTCGGTATGACAGATATTCTAACCTGAATAGTCGTGAACTTTAACACTTAGGCCCGTTTCTACCAACGCAGATTAACTTTAATCTCGGCTCAACTTACTCTTTGTCTTTTTCTAGTTCTAAAGATTAGAAAAAGACGAAGAGTAAGTAGAACCGAGATTAAAGTTAATCTACATTGGTGGAAATGGGCATTAATATCTCGGTTCGCGGGGCAGAGCGGCGCTTTTTCTACCAGATTCTTTCGTTTTATGGAAAAACGCGTCGAATGAGCATAATTTCATCGATTTTTAAGAGGATCGACCTTTATTGCACCTTTACTTTTTATATTATATGATGTTTCAGATTATCTTAAAGGGAGATTAAAACGATAATGTTGTCACCTTTTGCTATGTCAAGTGTTGCAAGCAGAAACGTTCCTACTTCAACCCCTGTGAGTTAGACTATTAAATTGAGTCGATTGAAAGTAGTGGATAACAGCGAAGCAAGCTATGATGGAGGATAGACCACCACGTTGCATACATGTATACAACAAACAAGGGATAGGGTACATCGGTGAGGCAATAAATGAAAGACTACATAAAAAGTATTATCAGTTTATATGACATGTATTTAAACATTGCTATATGTATTATACAGGTGATAGAATGTTAGTTCCTATAAGAGATGAAAAGAAAAAGGATATATTGGATTGAAACAGCAACAGGTTTCTAAAGTTTCCAAGTTTGATAGCAACAATCTGGTACTCGTAGATGACAATGGCATACCTCTAGGTACAAGAATACAGGTGCCTATTCCACGCATACTCCGAATGAAAATGAAAGAAACTCGCAGCAAAGGAACAGATTATACTAAATTAATAGCGATTACATCTAGATTCGTGTAGTGTATCTATGTTGCCTACTATTGTAACATATGTATTACATATTTTATTGTGTTAATATTGTACTTATTTAATATTTACTGCAGAACTTGTAGTATAGAAGTGTATTACTCATGTATCTCTGTGTATTTTATTGTATATTAATATTTTAATAATAAAATTGTCAAATTCGAACCTATTTTGTTATATATATATACTAGGGGTATGTTCTACTTAACACACGTTTGCAACGTTTGCATCACATCTCGTCTCATCCTTGTTTAATGTTTGATGATAAGAAGGATGAAATGATTGCATATCCTATGCTGTGAATTTAGTATGTGACTATAGCGCTGTCAAGTGTAACTTTAGTTCAATTATTAGCCACGTGATGTCCATCACTTTATACTTAAATTAATTGTTGAAGTTATATTATGCCTATGTTAATTGATTTATGATATTTTTATTAAAATTTTAACAAATTGCATAACTTTAATTCTTCGCCTTTATAGAATTTATTATCAAATTTGTCTTCATCGAATTCAGTAATCAAAATTAGTAATGCGAATAATCCTTCAGTTCCCGAAAACACTTGTTTTCGATAGGATTCCTATATAAGAATAGAATATCGATAAGTATTTCGGATCCACCTGCCAGAGGTAGAGGGTAGAGGATCGGTAGTCTGATACTGGTGAAGGAAGCGCTTGCTGTCCCTAATAGGGTTAGAAGAGGTCAACATGGTTTAATCATCAAAATCTTTACTCAATAGTTTCATTACAGGCTCAGGATGCAAAAAATACAAAACTGTGTCTCAGCATAGTAGGTCTGGTATGTCATGGTTCTCCTCAAAGTCAGTGCCAAAACCCAAAACAAGAGTCTGTAAAAACAGACTCCCAACAAAAAAACAGACCTGGACAGTCTTCTGCCGACGACGAATACCGTCCATGGTCTACCAAAAAAAAACAAAATGTACATAGTAATTAAATAATTAATAAGCATTGTAAAAAATACAAACTTAATTAATTAATTTAGTTTATAAGACTGTAAATATGAAACAAGACTGAATGCAACAATAAGCAATAATGAACACCAATATAGCCTGTGTTGCGATATTCACCGCCAATAATGAAGATGTATAGTATGTGTCAAACATCTATAGATCAGTACTATAGCAGTAAATATGGGAACGAGGCAAAGCAACTAACAAGCAATAATCATATTCTAAAACAGAACTATTACTTACCAGGCTTACTATGCTGAAAACAGCAGTTTATCAGTTAACAGAAGCCACATGGACAGCAAGCGCTATGGGTACTACCCTTATTCAATCAGTAACGTTGACTACATTTTTGCGTTCAGCATAACGCAACAGTTTTGCTGTTCAAAAATTTTTTTTATGATTGTCTAAACGACCCAAAACGCACTCAACATTTCGCAACACGTTTAATCAACACTCGCCATGGTCGCCATTATGGTGGAATGAAGAAAGATGAGTCACACCCATTATTCACCATGGTGATGAAAGTTGAAACCATGGTGGAAGGAAATCATGGAGGGGAGGAAACCATCTTGGGCTGATGGACAATAGAAGTAGGTATCGCAGTGGTATCATCAGCTCGGTTATTAAGGTATATCCACACAAACTTGCATAGTCGCATAAACGTATGCATAAAGAAAATTATCCAATCACATTTTATGTACGACTTTGAAAGAGAACTGCAATTGGATAATTTTCTTTATGTACATGTTTATGCGGCTATGCAAGTTGTGTGGATATAAGCGGGGAGCACAGACTCTTGCATAACGCATAACACATGAGGCATAAGCAATTGAACCAACCAGAGTTTTCCATTACATGGAAGGGAAAGAAACGGAGAACTTCGATTGGTATATATTCTTATGCATTATGTGTTATGCGTTATGCAAGAGTCTGTGCTACCCACTATACCCTTATCACGGTTGGTATTTGCACAGCGATTGGTAAATACGTGGAATTACCGAAAGATAGAAACCTTTAAAGTCTTGTGACGTCTGCGAGAGAATAGAGTTCAGTTTTTCACTCGATCCCTCGATCGTCGCTCCGATTACAGAAGAATGTGACGGCCTTTATTCATAAATCGCTCGCTGTTTTTCGTTTTAAGCAAGTATGTAATTCTGTTCTTTGCCTTTTGCCAAAAAGTCGTTTTTTTTTTCGTGTGTTCCTGCATTTACATTTTAACAACGCTGCTACTTGATATTAGCGGAAGAGAACTGAACAGATTTGCGTTTCGTGATCTTGATGACAGTTTTAACCTAAAAAAGTAGTATGAACCACAGATTTTTCTATATTGATATAAAAATCTATATTCGTTTTTTATATTCGTTATAGAAATCTATAACATAAGCTCTTGTAGGTAGGAATCATATAAGCTCAAGGAGGGTAGACATAAATTCCATCAGCAAAGGAAAACTCTGAAACCTCCAAATCAACAAGCTCTTAACTCGAAGATTGAAGAGAACGAGTAATATTTTCTCTAAAGAGAAATATCGTTTTGTGAATTTTCAATCGCGATGACGCGGCATGCAAGGAATTGCACCGCTGGTGCAGTGTACACATATCATGAAAAGAAGAAGGACGCTGCGGCGTCAAGTTATGGCACCAACACTCAACGAGTAGAGAAGGTCTCCGTCAAAGATTTTGATTGTTGTTGCTTGACTCTACAACCCTGCAGGAACCCAGTAATAACGTAAGTATCTTATATCACGAATCTTGCACAGTGTGTATTATTTGTAAAAACTTGAAAAACCTGGAATTTTCAGTGATCCCTTTTTTATCCCGAAAAGTCAGAAGTTCCATAAAGTTTTATTATTAAATTCCGGGGAAATTTTTGGAATTTTCTTATATAGAATAAAAAATATTGTCAGTATTTGTTGATATTGACCTGTAAAGTCTCTATTATGACTTGTTCATGTCTATTAATTTTAATCTCTACTATCTTAACATACGTTTTATTTTTTTTTTGTTATAAACATTACAGTTTAAATTTAATCTACATTGGTTGAAATGGACATGTAACTTATATCTGTACATTTATGTCTTTTATTTACAATTAACAATCTATTGTTGCAGGAAGGATGGTTTTTTATTTGATAAAGAAGCGATATTGGAGTACATCTTGACTAAAAAAAAGAATACACGAGGAAACTGAAGGAATACAAGAAGTAGAAGCAAAAGGAAGAGGGTAGATTATAAACGAGCTGTAAGCCTAATGTACAGATTGCATTCCAGGAGCATTCTTCCTGCATTATTCGAGTATATTCCATGTTGAGTTCTTTTCATTTAGTGACACATGGACACAAGTGTTCTGTCTCCATTGCTCATTGAATGCCAAGAAAGCAAGGTTGACAAAGACTAATTTTTTTTTTAAGAATAAAACATTTCCTTGAATATGTTTTTAATGCTTCAAATATATTTTAACGAGTATTATAAAGAAACATTAAAAACATCAATTAACCATGTTTCAAACTGTTTAAAACATGTTTTACCAATTCTGCAAGAAAGACAGAATGTTCATATTAACTTGTGTCGTTACATGGAAAACACTCTTCTTTTATATATAATGGATGATAAATTTGAACCTATCAAAAGCCATATATTATATCTACAGTGTGTGATACATGGTTTCTTTTATTGCTTTTTATTAAACGTTATCAAAATTATCAAACAGTTTGACTAGTCGATACATTTATGCTGTATATATTATTACAGGAGCATTTACAAGAACAGACAACCAACGAGAAACTGAAAAAGCTGCAAAATTTTCTAAAGGGTGAGAAAACCATCGTGTCTGGCAGTTCCAGTATATCGGATGGAGATTCGGTTTCTAACATGAACAACGGCAAGGCAAGATGCTACCGTCAAAGCACTTCATAAAATAAAATTTCTAGAATATAATTTTTATTGATAATTCTCACTGATATAGTTATCTATAAATTTTCAATAACTCATCCTTTCCTAGTATTAAGAATTAAAAGAAGATAAGTTAATCTACATTGGTAGATAACAGGGATATTAAAAGACTGTTAACTCCAAGCACAAATCATTCTAGCAATCGTTGCAGCTTGCATCAGCACTGCACTGTTTAACAATAATTAACATCCAAAATAATGAGAATATTTTCGAAATGAATCATTAATCGTCGCTTTCGCGATTTCGATTTTAGAGATTTCCTTTTGAAGTAAAGAGATTTTTTTTTTTAGATTTATTCGGAGTAATCGTCACAATAATGCTGCTCCGACGCGACTGGTGTCACTATCTCGATATATTGGCAATCGAAGAGAAGGTTAAGGTTAAGACTGATTGAGATTCGCCACAAAATCATCCGTCTGTGACTCATTTGTACTCGTCTTATTCTGGGAAACATGGATCTCGGTGTCCTTTCGCAGCTGATCTCGCAGAGCAAGGAGCAGGTGAGACCAGCCTGCAAGAAATGCGGCTACGCCGGGCACTTAACCTATCAGTGCCGCAACTTCATCAAGATCGATCCCAACAAGGAGATCGTGCTGGACGTGAGCAGCACGAGCTCGGACAGTGACGAGCATTATGTCACCCCATTGACGGAGCTGCGGGAGCGCGAGTTGCGGAAGAAGCTGCGGGTGGCGAGGAGAAAACGGCGGGAAAAAAAGGCCAGGAAGAAGCGTAAGAAGAAACGCGAGAGCTCAGAGAGCAGCGACAGCAAGTCCTCGTCGTCGTCCTCATCCTCGTCATCGTCGTCAGCGAGGAGGACAAGAAGCACAAAAAGGGAAAGAAGAGGAGAAGAGCTCCAAAAGCAAGAAACGCAAGAAGCACAAGCGGCACGACGATGACGATTCTGATGGGAGCGAGGCAAAAGGTGACAGGAGGAAAAAATGAATTGTTCATGATTCCTAATTCGTTTCCTTATATCATTGAATATTGAACAACGCGTGACAGTGGCGTTTTTTAATCGTATTATATTCGCACTCGTTTTTCTCGTCCACGAGGAAATCGCCCCGTACTGTGTCCACTGACTTGAACTGACTTGAACTGTAAATAGGAGCATGTATTTTTTTCTTGTATAGAGAGTGACATTTGTAATAAAGAGTTGCAGTCCACAAAAACTGCTAAGGTTTTACAAAAGGAATCACACATGTTTTTTTTTTACTATATTTAATTTTATCTCATTTTATCTAATCTCGTTTGTGACGCGATAAACGTAAATTGAGGATGCTTGTTTAGTCATTTTTACTTATGTCACAGTTTATAGAATATAGTAGTTTTTATTTATAAATTTCTAAGAACAAGAATGTGTTATAAACAGTTTCTTTTGAAAATGATGGTAAAACGACGTAATTTTCTAAAATCTGGATTAGAACGAAAAACAGAATAATTTGCAAAATGATATAAATTAAAACTCTTATTCAGTCTTTTTTCATCACATTTCATGTGCCTTATATAGCTGTTTAAAAGAAGCGTTATTTTGAAAAAGAAACAATAAGAAATTAATCATTCGCAGTCGAATGTGAAAAGAATAGTCATGATTAGTAAATATATTATTGGTAAATTTTAGTTATGATTGGTAAATTTTTTACGGATTAAGACTTGAAGTTTAGGTAATGGTTTATTGTAGAAAGTATGTAATACTTATTTAAAAATGACAGTATTAGAATGAATCATTTCAATAATGGCTGATGCAAGAAGATGCTTCATTTTTCATCACATTCTATAGAATTTTGGAATCTATAACGCATTTTTTTTTTTAAGTGGAATAAACACATTAACAATTTTCTACGTTATATAAACATAAAGGTGAAAGGTTATTTTTCAAAAGTGATATTCTTAATCTTAATTATCGTTACCGTCATACGAAATTGCAACGTCATTAAAGCATTTATAGAAAGTAACGCTAAAAATAACAGTTCACATCTCTATGAAAAAATAGCACAACTGTATCTGTAACATGATGCAAATTAAGTGTGTTTGTTCATTACTTTCCGTCGCATTCCACAGAATTATGAATAATCTAAAGAAAATATTTTTTATAAAAAATATTAAAATCGGAGCAACGCTACATTAAACAGTTTTTAATCTGTTCGAAAATAATGGTTTCGAATCAAGAAATAATATAATAGTAACTGCGATAGACATGATGCAAGTTACAGACCCTGTTTTTTTCTCGGTTTTTTCATCACATTCTGTGAAATTTTAGAAAATTCTGAAGGAAACATTACTTGCAATTTTCTAAAAGCATGGGATGTGTGTGGGTGGGGATGCCCACATCAAACAATTTCCTAACCTATTTCATTAAAATTGTTAAATCTGTTCGTGTTGCTTGATATCTAATAGCGTTTTCGGCCCGATCGGGTTTGCACCAACCTGGGTTGGATTAATCTTTCCTATTGGTTGATATCACACGCTCTACCAATAGGATAAAAGTGAGATATTTCAATTGATAAAATGCCCAAAATTTATTTTATCAATAGCACAATAAAATGTATCGAATATTTCACGGTTTAATTCGTTTGTATATTTTTATTAAACGTATATCTTTACGTCGATTTTTGTATAACAGCGTTGAAGTGCACTGAGTGCGCACTAGTTCTGCCAATGAAACATGCTATTAGGGCCGAGTTTTTGCATTATAGTGCAAAAACTCGACACGAGCTCCAAGAGACGGTGTCGATTCAGTGCAATATGGAAGCGGGGCATATTGCCAGTTTCGAAACTCGATTAGCACTTCAGCTGCTAGATGTGCTGTCCTCATCATTAGAGACCCTTTACTAGAGACTGATCATTCGGCACACAAATGGCGGCGATAAATCGATAAATCGATTCGATCAGTTGTCGATTTCGTTTGTTGATCGTTATATCAGAAGAAGTGTATTACATGTAGGTAGGAGAAATAGCTTGTAAGTATATATATTGACTGAATTTAGGTATTAAAATAGATTGTTATTTATATAGAATATTTTCCAATTGCTTAACACATCTTGACACAAACGTAGCAAATTAGTTCACACATTTTTAGTGTTAACAAAATAATTTAATTCTTTTAAAGTTATGAAGTTATCGTGCTTTCCAGCAAGGACATAGTCAGACACAGTATAACACAGTGAATCATTACATCCTTATTATTTATTACATGTCAAACAAGGAAAAACGATGCTCGTGATCGTTGCGAGCGTCAAGTGGAATGCACCCAAAGATATTAAAAAGTTCATAGCGTTTGAGCAACACTTTGAAAATTAAGCAAGAATATTGAAATTCATGTAAAAAAAATAAATATACCATGTTCGCGCTTAATTTTCAAGGTATTCTCTATCCGCCTCGAATTTTTTAATAACATTAATATATTCAAAATGTCAAAGTCTATAAAAAAACATTATTACTTTTGCTTATACCTTTTTAGGCAGAAATCTGTTGCTTTTCGCGCTCGGCTGAACAGCGTTCCTTATTGGCGCCGCCATTAATGTGCTGAAGTCACGTGCACCAATCAGCAAAAGTCCCGAAATGATCAGTCTCTAGTAAAGGGACTCTACTCATCATCATCCAGTAGTGACGAAGATGAATTGTGGAATGAAAATAAACGAAAAATTCCAAAAATAAAAAACTTTATTGACGTGATACTTACGGATAAAGAGGTTAATAGCGTTTTTTATTGACAGAACTAGTGCGCACTCAGTGCACTTTAAAGGCCCATCTACAATACACGGAGTAAGAAGTAAGAGTAAGAAATTGACCAGTCACAGTCGAATGTGAGAAGAATAATCGACTGTGATTGGTCAATTTCTTACTCTTACTTCTTACTCCGTGTATTGTAGACGACGCCTAAAGCCATTATACAAAAATCGACGTAAAGATATACGTTTAATAAAAATATATAAACGAATTAAACCGTGAAATATTCGATACATTTTATTGTGCTATTGATAAAATAAATTTTGGGCATTTTATCAATTGAGATATCTCACTTTTATATTTTTAAGATTAGAATAGTGTACAACAGCCTTAATGTGCACTGAGTGCGCACCAGTGCAACCAGTGAAATACGCTATAAAATTGTATGCACTTAAAATGAGATAAATATACAATCGGGCGTTGAAGAAAGAGAAAACGAAAACATTGTGAGTGCGATAAGTACAAACAATAGCCCTGTTCTTTTTGACTACACTTTTGCACCAGTTCATCTTTCTTCCTTTTCTCTCCAGGACGATCGAAGAGGAAGAAAATTGCACTGGTGCAATAGTTCAATCAAAATGAACGGTTCTAAGCCTTGTGCCCACGATGTTAGAAATCGGTCCGAGACCTCGGATGAAGAAAGAATTGACCAATCGCAATGGTCATGTGATCAAATTGTTCAAATGTGATTTGTTAATTTTTTCTCTGTCCGAGATCTCGGACCGATTTCTAGCATCGTGGACACAAGGCTTAAAAACGAACAGACTTCATGACAAAACGAGTGAATTCGACGGCTGCCGTTTTTGTTGGCCAATCCAATGTGTCGAATCGACGAAGGCATTACTGCGATTAGTTGGCGTTGGCCAATCCAGTGCGCCAAGACGTCATCGATCCATTACGATAATCCTAAACAATGTTGAGGTTATGTAAAAATTGTTGTCCTTTTTATTATCTCTGAAAAGTTATGGCAATTAAAAACTGCAAATTTGTTTTAGAATTAAAATTGCCAAAGAGATAATTTGGATTCTACGGTAAATATCACAAAAATGTCTGAGAAAAAAAGAATTCGTTCAATTTATTGTTTCCAACGTTATTTATCTTCTTTCTGCTAAGAGGAAGTTTATGCTATGAGTGTGTTGTAATATTAAATACATTATACAATTTTTTATATTATTTGATGTTTCAGATTATCTTAAAGGGAGATTAAAACGATAATGTTGTCACCTTTTGCTATGTCAAGTGTTGCAAGCAGAAACATTTCTACTTCAACTCCTGTGAGTCAGACAATTAAATTGAGTTGATTGAGTGTAGTGGATAACAGCGAAGCAAGCTATGATGGAGGATAGACTACCACGTTGCATACACATGTACAACAAACAAGGGATAGGATACATCGGTGAGGCAATAAATAAAAAACATAAAAAATATTATCGTTTTATATGAAATGTATTTAAACATTGCTATATGCATTATTCAGATGATAGAATGTTAGTTGCTGTAAGAGGTGAAAAGAAAAAGGATTGGATTGAAACAGCAACAGGTTCCTAAAGTTCCCAAGTTCGTTAGCAACAATCTGGTACTCGTAGACGACAATGGCACACTTCTAGGTACATGAATACAGGTGCCTATTCCACACATACTCCGAACGAAAATGAAACAACAAACTCTCAGCAAAGGAACAGATTATACTAATTAATAGCTATTGTATCCAGATTCGTGTAGTATATCTATCTCGCCTACTATTGTAATATATGTATTACATATTTCATTATAATGTTAATATTGTACTTATTCAATATTTACTGCAAAACTTGTAGTATGGAAGTGTATTACTCATGTATCTCTGTGTATTTTATTGTATATTAATAATTTAATAATAAAATTGTCATATTCGAACATATTTTATATTATATATATACTAGGGGTATGTTCCACTTACACATGTTTACAACGTTCGCATCATATCTCGTCTCATTCTTGTTTAATGTTTGATGACAAGGATGAAATGATCGCGTATCCTATGCTGTGATTTTAGTACGTGAGTATAGCGCTGTCAAGTGTAACTTTAGTTCAATTATTAGCCACGTGATGTCCATCACTTTATATTTAAATTAATTGTTGAAATTATATTATGCCTATGTTAATTGATTTATGATATTTTTATTAAAATTTTAACAAATTGCATAACTTTAATTCTTTGCCTTTATAGAATTTATTATCAAATTTGTCTTCATCATATTCAGTAATCAAATTAGTAATGCGAATAATCCTTCAGTTCCCGAAAGCACTTGTTTTCGATATGATTCTTATATAAGAATAGAATATAGATAAGTATTTCGGATCCTCCTGCCAGAGGTAGAGGGTAGAGGATCGGTAGTCTGATACTGGTGAAGGAAGCGGCTTGCTGTTCCTAATATGGTTAGATCGGATCAACATGATTTAATCATCAAAATCTTTATTCAATAGTTTTAATACAGGCTCAGGATGCAAAATAAGACAAAACTGTGTCTCAGCATAGTAGGTCTGGTATGTCATCATTTGCCGTCCCCAAAAACAAGAGTCTGTAAAAACAGACTCCATACAAAAAAACAGACGTGTGGACAGTCTTCGTACGCTTACCACGAATACCGTTCACCGTCTACCAAAAAAAAAATAAAAATGTAAATAGCAAGAAACTAATTAATTTATAAGTCGTAATATGTACTTAATTAATTAATTTAGTTTATAAAGTTATATACATATCACAAAACTGAATACACCAATAATGAACACCATTATAGCCTGTGTTGCGATATTCACTGCCAATACTGAAGATGTATAGTATGTGTCAAACATCTATAGATCAGTACTTTAGCAGTAAATATGGGAACAAAGCAACTAAGCATTATTGTTAATTCGAAAATAGAATTACTACTTACCAGGCTTACTATGCTGAAAACACCAGTTTATCAGTTAACAGAAGCCACATGAACAGCAGGCGCTATGGGTATTATCCTTATTCAATCAGTAACATCGACTACATTTTTGCGTTCAGCATAACGCAACAGTTTTGCTGTTCAAAAATTTTTTTTATGATTGCTAAACGACCCGAAACGCAGTCAACATCTCGCAACACGTTTACAGTTAACGATCGCCATGGTCGCCATTATGGTGAAATGAAGAAAGATGAGTCACTCCCATTATTCACCATGGTGGACGAAACCATTCTGGGAGGAAATCATGGAGTGGAGGGAGCCATCACGGACTGATGGAAAATGGAGTAGATACTGTAAGAAGGGGTATCCCTTCTGAATAATACTTTAAATGCTTGAATATATGTCAGGATCTCTTGAAGACTTTTATTTTATTAAAATATTACAGATCGTAGGATTAATAAGTAGATTAAGTCTTTTATAAAGCTGTTGATTCTCTCGCCATTTTCATACGCCATTCCTTTCTTTTTACGAAGTTGTCATTTACAGTGACAACTTATAGTAAGACATGTGTATAAACATAAGCCATATGTATTAGGGCCTGCGCACAATAGAGGAACAGGAATTAGATATTAAGATTTCAACATATCAGAAACTGATTACATCGGAATACACGATTTCTGATAAGTTGAAATCTTAATATCTAATTCTTGTTCCTCTATTGTGCGCAGGCCCTTAAGGCCCGTCTACAATACACGGAGTAAAATGTAAGAGTAAGAAATTGACCAATCACAGTCGAATGTGAGAAGAATAATCGACTGTGATTGGTCAATTTCTTACTCTTACTTCTTACTCCGTGTATTGTAGACGGGCCTTTACCCTTAAGCATGAGACATGATGTCATTTCCCTATTGGAAATATAGGGAAATAACATCTTACAATACCATAGTTGTATCATTACCCCGGATCTACAATAGGTGTTTTAAGCCTTAAGCCGTAAGAAATTGACCAATTACAGTCGAATTACAGAAGAATAAGCGACTGTGATTCGCCCATTTCTTATGGTTTAAGGCTTAAAACTCTATTGTAGATCCGGACTTATCTCGAATATTATCACAGTCGGTATTTGTACAGCGATTGGTAGATATGTGGAATTACCGAAAGATAGAAAGCTTTAAAATCTTGCGACGTTTGCGAGAAAATAGAAGTCTGTTTCTCACTCGATCCCTCTGTCGTCGTTCCGATTACGGAAGAACGTGACGGCTTGGATTCATGAATAACTCGCTGTTTTTCGGTTTAAGCAAGTATGTATTTCTGTTCTTTGCCTTTTGCCAAAAAGTCGTTTTTTTTTTCGTGTTTCTGCATTTACATTTTAACAACGCTGCTAATTGAAATTAGCGGTAGAGAACTGAACATATTTGCATTTCGTGATCTTGATCACAGTCTTAACCTATAAAAGTAGTATGAGCTACAGATTTTTCTATATTGATATAAAAATCTATATTCATCTTTTATATTTGTTATAGAAATCTATAGCACGAGCTCTTAGGTAGGCATCATATGGATGCCTCAAGGAGAGAAGACATAAATTCCATCAGCAAAGGGAAACACTGAAACCTCCAAACCAACAAGCTGTTAACTCGAATATTGAAGAGAACGAGTAATATTTTCTCTAAAGAGAAGTATCATTTTGTGAATTTTCAATCGCGATGACGCGGCATGCGAGGATTTGCACCGCTGGTGCAGTGTACACATATCATGAAAAGAAGAAGGATGCTGCGGCGTCAGGTTATGGCACCAACACTCAAGGAGTAGGCAAGAACTCCGTCAAAGATTTCGACTGTTGCTTGACTCTACAACCCTGCAGGAATTCAGTAATAACGTAAGTGTCTTATATCACGAATCTTGCACAGTGTGTATTATTTGTAAAATCTTGAAAAACCTGAAATTTTCATGGGTCCTTTTTTTATTTCTAAAAGTCAGGAGTTCCATGAATTTTTATTATTAAGACTCAGGGAAATTTTTGGAATTTTCTTACATACAATAATATTGTCAGTATTTGGTATTGACAATATTATTGACCTGTAAGGTCTCTATTACCACTTCTTCATCTCTATTAATTTTAATCTCTAATATCTTAATGTACTTTTTATTTTTTTCTAGTTATAGACGTTAGATATTAAAGTTAATCTACATTGGTAGAAATGGTCATGTGACTTATATCTGTACATTTACGTATATTATTTATAATTAACAATCTATTGTTGTAGGAAGGATGGTTTTTTCCTTGATAAAGAAGCGATATTGGAGTACATTTTGACTAAAAAAAAAAGAATACGCGATGAAACTGAAGGAATACAAGAAGCAGAAACAAAAAGAAGAGGTTAGATTATAGTCGAGCTCTAAGCCTAATGTACAGATTGCATTCCAGGAGCATTTTTCCTGCACTATTCGAGAGTACTCCATGTTTGGGTCCTTTTCATTTAGTGACACAAATCGACACAAGTGTTCTGTGTATTGCTCATTGAATGCCAAGAAAGCTAGGTTGACGTAGACTAATTTTTTTTTAAGAATAAAACATTTCTTTGAATACGTTTTTAATGCTTCAAACATTTTAAAGAGTATTATAAAAAAACACTAAACACATCAATTAATCATGTTTTAAACTGTTTGAAACATGTTTTTTTACCAATTCTGCAAGAAAGACAGAATGTTCATATATCAACTTGTGTCATCAAATGGAAAACACCCCTTCTTTTATATATAATGGATGATAAATTTGAACCTATCAAAAGCCATATATTATACAGTGGTGTGATACATGGTTTCTTTTATTGCTTTTTATTAAACGTTATCGAAATTATCAGACAGTTTGAATAGTCGATATATTAATATTTATGTATACTATATGTATTATTACAGGAGCAATCGCAAGAACAGACAGCCAACGAAGAACTGAAAAAGCTGCAAAATTATCTAAAGTGTGAGAAAACCATCGTATCTAGCAGTACATCGGATGGAGATTTGGTTTCTAACATGAAGAACGACAAGGACAAGATGCCACCGAGCTATTGGATACCCTCGAAGACACCGGGAGCGATGGAAATCTCCTTACAGAGACTTGACAAGACCATTTATTGTCCTGTCAGTGGAAAGCCATTGAAAGTGAAGGATTTGATTCCGGTAAATTCACTGTGGTTCAAGATCCAGATGATAAGAGAACGCTTATCGTTAAACAGGCGCGATACATGTGTCCTATCATGCACGATGTGTTGGGCAACAGTGTCCTTTGCTCCGTGATAAAAACAACGTAAGAGAATCGAAAAATCTCCTAACTTGTGTGAGTCGAAAATAATAATTTTGTCGTGTTTAAACGTTTTATACTTTAGCGGTGACGTAGTCACAATGGAATGTGTGGAAAAATTGATAAAAAAGGATTGGATTAATCCTTTAGATAATTCCAAATTGACACCATCTGATATAATCCCCCTACAAAGGGTAAGTAGTTAGTTACGAACAGTATTAGAATAATCATATAATACAAAGAGTAATATCCATTTTTATTATTTTACAGGGTGGCACTGGTTATGCATTCGTTAATGATTCAATAGAAGGCAGACACGAAAGGCCGGTGTTACAAGCCTGAAGAGTATTTTTCATCGCTTTATTGTATTTAAATGTTCTTAGTTTTATTAAGAAAATACACAAGTGCTGTAAATATTGTGCTGTATTTCACTGTAGATATTTAATCAGGAATAATTAAGTATTATCACTTACATAACACTTTCTATATATACTTGTATAATGTGTACTATAATTATTTTATTTATAGCATAGAAATATGCGAGAATAGAAAAAGGGAATTATCGCTATTCTTGATGGTCCAAAAAAATAGTTAAAATTTTCATATGTGTGTGTATGTGTTTGATTTTACCAGCTTACATTAAAGAATTTGGTTTATATATGTAGTTTATAAATCTATATATATATATATATAAAACCAAAAATTTGCTTATAAAAGAATAACATATTTAGGAGCAAGAAAGAGATTTTGAATTAAATTTTTGGATTTGCACATCGAAAAAAAGTTAAAAAGGGCAAAAAATTTAAAGAATAAAAAGAAAACAGTATAAGCATAATAAGAGCATATCTTAAAATCCTTTTTTTTTTAAATTGAAAGGTGAATAAAAATGAATTTTATCTTTCATTATCTTGCTTCATTTATAATATATATCAAATATTTATAGCTTAATTTTTATTCTTAAATTAT